TCCATATTCATGATATATGCATCATATTAGCTCTGGGATAAATTCCATGTATCTTGTTATCTTATTAGGACATTGACAATGAAAAAAGAATCCTGCAAAGATGGTATTGGGCCCTTGTCATTGGATCTCCAAGACGCTCAAAGGGTTTGATATCAGCACCATTGGGAAAGGTTAGTATACCCTTGATTGGAATGCTTGTCCAAAATTTACAAACTTGAAGTGTTTTAATGTACTGACTTGTGTGGACTCAGTTTGCTATATGTTGTGTGTGCATGAGAGAGGAGAGATATATCGAATTTACAAGTTGCAAATTGAGCTAAACTGCAATAGATTATGATGCCTTGTGATTTTGCCTGGTATGTTGGTTGGCTTCCCCTAAAATGTTAACTCTGATTTTAGTGACCATCAGGTTGTGGTGGACAATGGAAAGTCTGATCGAATCACCATTGTCAACAACACTCAAAATATGACATCACAGCATGCAATAACAGAGTACAGAGTGATTGAATCGTCTCATGGTTAGCATAGTACTTCACCTCACATTTACTTCCAATATGAAATATGAAATATAAATCTGAGTATCTGGTTCTGGCTCTTTTGGTGATAAGAAGAGCATCCTAACTTATATGCATGTTGAAGAATATGGGTGACCTTCAACAGATGAGTAGAAGTATTAATAAAGAACTTGTCCAGTAATTTTGGCTATGAATTTCTAATGCACTAATATTTTTGTACATCTGGCCTCAAATTTCCTGCTTGAAATAATGTTAATTCAACTTTTTTGACTATCTTGAGTGTTCTTAGGGAAATTGTTTTGCAATATAACTTTTGTCGTTTGTTTATGCATCGTATTCTTGTGGTCATAATGCAGGTTACACGTGGTTAGAGTTGTCTCCTCTTACAGGTAGAAAGCATCAGGTATATATCATAACCAAATACTATGTCGAAATTTGAGTGCATCTTTATCTCTTTGTTCCATACTGATTTTTCACCCTGTTCAAATCCTATTTTAATCATGTTTGGGTGCCACAGCTCCGTGTACACTGCGCTGAGGTGCTGGGGACACCTATAGTTGGAGACTACAAATATGGGTGGCAAGCTCATCGGAAGTGGAAACAGTTGCATCCATCTGATCTTATTAAGAACTTAAATGAGAAGGTTTCGAAGGAAAAAGCTCTTCCCTTTGGCCTTGATTTGGAGAACGGAAGCATCTTTGGAAAGCACCCTCACCTGCATCTTCACTGTAAGGAAATGTTTTTACCCAATGTGTCTCAGGCTTTGCAAACTGTGCAATTATCTTCAGACTACGATCTTTCAGAATTGGAAACCCTGAAGTTGGTTGCACCTTTGCCTTCACACATGCAAAGAAGTTGGGATTTTTTGAATTCTTAAGCCACAACTATAATCGTGCAAACTTGCAGATAGGGATGGGCATAAAACCAAATAATCAAGCAACCTGACTATCCTGATCCAGACCAGTCAAGTTGTATTAGTTGATTCTTCTTCTAGCAGTTTACATCACTGCTCAATCAGTTGTAGGTTCCTCCTATTGTAAACCTTGAAACCTCACCCAACCCAAATGCAATTTTTGAACAGTAAAGGCCGGCTACATCTTAAACTTGATATCTCCCTTCTGTCATCTGCATGCAAGCTTCCATCTTCCAGTCTTGAAGCAGAACTTATTCGTAGTTTCTTAGAATTTTCTCAACTTCAAGTTTCATATTTTAGAGTTCTACATCTAACTTAAACCTGTAGCACTAATGTGTATGGCAAAGCCACATGCACCTATCACAGTAAACCTGCTGCTATACAATCTCAGTTCCCTTGTGGTCTACTTACCCTATTCTCCTTCACCATTTTTCTTGTTTTCATCAAACTCACATAGTCACATGCACCACTGGATATGCACACACGCATCCCACACAGTAGGCCCCCAGCACTGCCACCCATCACTTAAAACGATTGAGTGAGCAATGAATTTATCTTCAGGATGTATCCTCTTCCGCAACATATAGGAAAAAATTTTGAAATTGAGTGTTAGGATTATATGGAAATTTTTCAAAGGAATGACTCATAAGATACAGTTTTAACTTCTGTTGATTTCTGCTCCTAGCTTACAACCATTTCAGCAGCATAAGATCTTTTGTTAGGTTTCATCAGTTTCTAACCATTCTTTTCTCAAAATTAATAATTGTGGCGAACTGGATATTTGTCTGTTGTAGTTTCTATTATGGAAGAATCTTGAATGAAAGATGCAAATTAACGTTGGACAAAGTTCTCAAGGACTTGGTGTGTTAAAAAAAGAGTTTCTAATTTGGAATTTGCTTACTGCATCTTTTTCCTTTTCTACCTTTGATTTTGGATTTTGTTTAATGGATCTTTCTGCTTTATTCATTCTCTGTAACTTGTTGAACTTATATAAAGAACCGCACATGCCTAAGTCTATGAGCGTCAGGGAACAAGATGATGTGTTTGGAAATAAGATCTGCGTTTACGTTAACCTGACTAATAAATAACACAGCGCGCTAAGTTGACTTAGGCACTGCACACGGAAGGTAGAACCGTAGAATATGCATTATCATTTAAACCTGGCCATAAAGACATTTTAACTGATTTAATAAACAAGATGCGACATGTTCACATCATACAAGTTTGTTAAAATCTTCGGATTAAGAAAGCTATGTTTTTCTTGTGGTGGCATTAATTTATCATTTTAACTATCTTTAATTAATTGAGTAATTGATAAAGATTCTTGAATGTATTATTTTAAAGGTTGGAGTCTCCCTTAATGTAATTAGAGTTAGAGATAAGTTTAATAGTTTAAGATTTGAAAAATTAGTTAAGGTCTTGAAAAAAAATAAAAAGATATTATCCTTAACTGAGACTAGGGATTCAACGTCCATATCTTCATTTTCTAGATCCTGAATCAGCAGGATGTTGATGGAAGGGGATACAATAATGATAAGCGTAGTTGAATAACATCATATTACTGGGTTTTGCAATGGAAATCTTATCCAGATGTGGCTGTAGATGTGATGTAAGTGGATAATTATTTTACAAATTGAGATTTTTAGTGGGAAGTATGAAACGATGTAACGATCTGAGGATAAGAATGTGCAGAAGGCATGGCGATGCCGATAAGTTAAGGCCTTTGAGTTGACTGGCAAACGTTGGTTGTTGTTGCGGGAGGTGTTTTTAATGGACCCCTAAGGTTTAGCGAGAGAACAAGAGGACCCAATATTTCAGAATTGAATCCTTACACTCTTGTAGTTTCATAATGGAACTCTTACACCCCTGGAATTTCACAAATACTTTGCCTTTCCGCTATTTATCCTTTGAAAATTAGAAATTGGAACATTCGGTAGGTGGATTCCGTGATCCATATAAGGGCGCAAATTTTCGGATTTTTTAGAAGTATACATCAATATCACGTTGGTTAATAGATTAAAAAATGCATTTTGTTAGTCAAATTAAGTATATGCGCAACTTTATTTACAAAATTCAGTCTTTTCTGCTAGACTGGGGCGTGCGTTTCCTATAGGTTCACCTCTAGTGGCCGCTGAGATTTGAATTAAAGACTCATTACCGAATATTCTATCAAAACTTCAGCCCATTTCAGAAAGGCACGGCTTGGGGATACGCTTTAAGTTAAAAATAACAAAAAGAAGAGAGTGAGGTTTTCTAATGCTTTAAAGATAGGAAACGAAGAAAGATTAGTCTTTGGCAAAGTTTCAACTGGGGTGGGGTGGTGGGTGAGTGTGAGTGAGAAGAAAGATTAGAAGCAAAATAAAAGGGGATTAGGAGACAATTCATCACCTTTATTGACCCCAAAATTCACACTAATGGTGGTGGTGGGGAAGACCTATGAAAAATTGCAACACAGTGACCCAATGGAAAAGCCATCGGCCGAATGACTTGTGCTATCCAAAGTTTACCGTAACGACAAGTTGATACCCAAAAGGTTTTAAACGATAAATAGGTACCTCGTCATGTTCTGTTAGTGATTTTTTGTTTATTAATAGTGAAAAGACTAAAATGCCTTCAAAGGTTCATTTAGTTTTTTAAAAAATTCTAAAAACCCCTAGGTTTGCTAATTTAATTAAACACCCCCAATATAAAAAGTTTGTTAAATGACAAAAACACCCCCACCACCCTAGTGCCAGATTCGGCCACCATCGCCGGAATCTGGTCGAAAAATTGCATTACGACACAGATCCGTCGGATCTGTGTCGTAACGTGCGATCTTGCCTTTTCGGTCAGATCTGCCACGGATTGGCCGGAAAGGCAAGATCTGGGTCGAGAACAACCAGATCTGGCTTTTCGGCCAGATCCGTGGTGATCTGGCCGGAGAAAGGCTAGATCTACTGCCAGATCTGGCCGTCGACGCGCAGATGGATTTTGCGGCGTCGACGGCTAGATCTAGCCGTAGATCTGGCCTTTCGGCAGATCAGCCACGGATCTGGCGGAAAAGGCTAGATCGATGCGTTACGACACAGATCCAAGGGTCTGTGTCGTAACGCAACTTTGGCGATTCCGGCGGTGGTGGCGGAATCTGGCACTGCGGGTGGGGGGGTGTTTTTGTTATTTTAAAAATTTTTATAATTGGGGTATTTTGTTAAATTTGTAAACTAGGGGGTTTTTTAGAAATTTTTAAATTTATTAAAAACTAAAATTCAAACTTTTAAGGGCATTTTAGTCTTTTCACTATTAAAAACAGTAATAAACAGAAATTCTACAGAACATAACGGAAAGTACCTTTGTTATTTCAAAACCTTTTAGGTATCAACTTGTCGTTACGATAAACCTTAAGTATGTGTAAGTCGTCTCCAAAGCCATCCTATAATATGTGGGTTATGGCTTAATAGTCAATTTTCAACAATAATGAAGACAGATCAGATTTCAGGTTGATGGGTAAATGATCGTTTATTTTCTTAACCATGTTCTTTGTTTGAAACATGGGATTTTAAAAATATTTGTTTAGAATCAACACAAGTTATGGTGGAGACTGACATATGCATGACGCATATTACTGAAAACAGAAACCAAGAAGCTAAGCTTGCTTCCCTGATCAATCAAACGACATAATCAATCCAACTGCCCCAGTTTCAGTAGACCCATCTAATTCATCGACGATCCTGACGTGGCTCAATCATATTTGGGCAGTGTGAATGTGCATAGGAACAAGGAAGCATGAAATCAGCCACCAAATCCATCTCATCTCACCTACCGCACCAGCTTGCTGAGATGTCCATAGCTTTCCTTTCACTTTGTTCGAGCCTATTTATACTTTATTTGATTCTTACGACCCCAAATCCATCTGCCCATCTCTCCTTCACGCCTAACATAACCACACTGCTCACAAAAGCAGACATTTTAAACAAATGGGTAGCCTCGAAAATGAGAAAACTGTAGTGGGATGGGCGGCCAGAGACCCCTCTGGAGTCCTGTCACCTTATACTTACACTCTTAGGTATCATTTATCTTCATTTCTTTACAAGTATTGATCTTGTTTAATGTCACAAATATTTCATTGTTTCTCACATCAAATTATTGCAGGAACACAGGAGCTGAAGATGTTCTCATCAAGGTTATTTGCTGTGGAATTTGCCACTCTGACCTTCATCAAATCAAAAATGATCTCGGCATGTCTAACTACCCAATGGTTCCAGGGTAAACTCATCAACAATCCTTCTGCTTTTTCAAAAAGCTCTATAGCTTTCACTTCTTGATTCTTCTTGTTGTTGTATATATATATATTTGCAGACATGAAGTTGTGGGAGAGGTGATTGAAGTGGGTTCTGCTGTCACCAACTACACTGTTGGCGATGTAGTTGGCGTTGGAGTTATCGTCGGATGCTGCAGAAACTGCCGCCCGTGTAACTCGGATATCGAGCAATATTGCAACAAGAAAATCTGGTCTTACAACGATGTCTACACTGATGGCAAGCCCACTCAAGGTGGCTTTGCGGAGTCCATGATCGTTGATCAAAAGTAATCGTCAAAACCTTTCTCCATTAATCACTAGACTTTTCATCGTGACTGAGAAAAATTCCGTTCTTTAATATAGGTTTGTAGTGAAAATACCAGAAGGGATGGCACCAGAACAGGCTGCGCCACTTTTATGTGCTGGTGTGACTGTGTACAGCCCACTGAGTCACTTTGGACTGAAACAAAGTGGACTAAGAGGAGGAATATTGGGGCTTGGAGGAGTAGGACACATGGGGGTGAAGATAGCCAAGGCAATGGGACACCATGTCACTGTGATTAGCTCTTCTGATAAGAAAAGAGCAGAGGCTTTGGATCATCTGGGTGCTGACCGGTACCTGGTCAGCTCGGATGCAACTCAAATGCAAGAAGCGGCTGACTCACTTGATTACATAATTGACACTGTGCCTGCTTTTCACCCTCTTGAGCCCTACCTTTCCTTGTTGAAGCTTGATGGGAAGTTGATCTTGATGGGTGTTATTAACACTCCCCTGCAGTTTGTCACCCCTATGGTTATGCTTGGTGAGTTTTCATCACTCCTGGAAAATTGTAATTAGCATTCAAATCTGTTGATTGCAAAGGATCTCCGTGGCTTTTAAGTTTTCATTTTTTGAATAGTCAGACTCCATTCAGTAGTTTATATTTCCATTGGACTCTTTCTAGTTATTAAATCAAATGCTTTTGGTAGTGGTGGTTGTGTTTTATAATAGTCACACAGCAACTAAAATTTTTTTTTTTTTTTTTTTTTTTTTTTGGGTGGAATTGCGTAGGGAGAAAGACAATAACAGGGAGCTTCATTGGGAGCATGAATGAAACAAAAGAAATGCTTGAATTTTGTAAAGAGAAAGGATTGACTTCCACAATTGAAGTTGTGAAGATGGATTATGTGAACACAGCAATCGAGAGACTCGAAAAGAACGATGTTAGATATCGTTTTGTTGTGGATGTTGCAGGAAGCAAGCTTGAGCAGCAATAGAAAAAAAAAAACCATTCTAAAAACCCCTTCAACAAAAATATACTGAAATTAATACATGTTGAATGTGAATCTGTTTCCAATTTGCCCTTTTTTGTTTGTTTCTGCATTTGTTTTGGAGATGCTGTGTTCTTCCGGTAATAAATTGATAAGAAGATGAGGTGGTGTTCTCAGTAAGCTACCTTCAATTATTGTCATTGAAATTTATAATGTATCTATCTGGGTGTGGGGCCTCTGAGTGTTAAAGATAACCAAACTTTTCTGGAAAATGGAGAGAAAAATGTTACTAAATGTTCACCAAACTTTCGGCCAATAGATAACTCTTGCCAAACTTCAGTTGTATGAAAGGGAGAGCGACATTTTCCCACTCAAGGTTCGGTGAAATGATCCTTTCCTACCTTTAAGTTTCAAAATGAGACTAATGATCCTTTCCTACCCTTTAAGTTTCAAAATGACACTTTTTCATCCATCGTTAAAACTCTTTAGTAAATTCTGTTAACTGACATGGTATAATCTTAACTCTTTAGTAAATTCTGTTAACTCACATGGTATAATTATGGTAAAGACGAAAACATCTTTCATTATTTAAAACTAAATCCAAATCCTTAACTTGACAAGAACAAAGCATGAGCAATTACTGTTACTGAAGCTTCTCCACTAAAAAATAAAAAGGAATTGCGGCAATAAAAATGATGCCATTAATTGGTCTAACGAACAAGCAAGGGATTGAGCTGCTAGAATTAGCGTTAGCGCAGCCGTTTTCTCAGAGATTTTCGGTGCAAACAAATTTTCCCACCTAATAGTGTCATTTGCAATTTTGGGGCAGTGGGGTGGAGAACGACGGTGGGATGTGGAGGCCATAATCACACCTGGTTGAATGCAATTCTAGCAAATCGTATGGAGAAGATGACAGCTAGGTGCAATTTTGGGGCCGTGGAGTGGATTGGGGTGGGGTGGAGAATGGCGTTGGGGTGTGGCGGGGTGAGGAAGAAAGGTAAGGTTTCTTTAATTTTATATATAGGCGGTGAAATGACTTCATTAGCCTGAAACTGTTTTATAAATTTACCGTTTTATCTTTCTTAAGTTGAGGTTAATGGGGTGAGAAAGTGTAATTTTGAAACTTGACGGGTCAAAAAATGTTGTTTCATAAAACCTCTCCCAATATGAAAAGTCCATTATTGCCGACTCTTTGGCTGGATTCTTCGTAATCTTTCTGCACTTGGGAACGTACGTGTGCATAAAACAAATCAGCCATGGCCACAGAATAAAGTGTGAACAGTGACAAGCATTTACTTAATTTGTTTTAAACGTCTGGGAAGTCTCTAGCAAGTAGAAATTCTGTGGTCCGAATTGGAAGCAGTGTCTTTAATTATAGTTGAAGCATTTCAATTTTCTTTTGTCTTTTTCATCATTTCCAGCTTCAAAATGGCCACCATTGAGCTAGTAAGGATTTCCATCAAAATTTAAGTTGATCCAATAATTTTGCGTTTATAAAATTAATATTCAGTCAGATTTTTTGGTTTTTTAAAGAAACTAACCTTTTCTCCTTTAACAAATAATTATGTCCATTTTCTACCATATTTTTTAAGAGAAAAAGGTAGCTGTCAAAATAAATAAATAAAACGAAAGTTGCGTTACGTAACAAAAAGTAAAAGTTAAGAATGAAGCTGCTACTTATAATCTTATGAACCTTTCGGAATCCTTTAATTAAAAAAAAAAAAAAAAAAAGGGAGAACAACTTACACATACCCAAGGTTTACCATAATAACAAATTAGTACCTAAAAGGTTTTGAAACGACAAATAGATACGTTCCGTCATATTCTGTTAATGATTTATGTTTATTAATAGTGAAAAGACTAAAATGCCCTTAAAAGTTTGAATATTAGTTTTTTATAAATTTAAAAATTTCTAAAAACCCCCTAGGTTTACAAATTTAACTAAATAACCCAATATATAAAATTTTTGTAAAATAACAAAAACACCCCCAGCACCGCAGTGCCAGATTTCGGCCACCACGGCCAGAATCTGGCGGGAAAGTTGCATTACGACACAGACCCGTCGGATCTGTGTCATAACGCGGCGATCTGGTTTTTTTTGGCCAGATCCGTGGCAGATCTGGTCGGAAAAGGCCAAATCTACGGCTAGATCTAGCCGTAGATCTGGCCTTTTCGGCCAGATCTGGCTGGAAAAGGCAAGATCGGCACGTTACGACACAGATCCGACGGGTCTGTGTCGTAACGCAACTTTCCGGCCAGATTCCGGCTGTGGTGGCCGGAATCTGGCACTGCGGGTGACGGGGGTGTTTTTGTTATTTTACAAAAATTTTATATATTGGGGTATTTAGTTAAATTTGTAAACCTAGGGGGTTTTTTAGATATTTTTAAATTTATAAAAAACTAAAATTCAAACTTTTAGGGGTATTTTAGTCTTTTCACTATTAATAAACAGAAATCACTAACAGAATATGACAGAAGGTACCTCTTTGTTATTTCAAAATCTTTTAGGTATCAACTTATCGTTCTGAAAAACCTTGGGTATGCACAAGTCGTTCGGCCAACAAAAATTTCACAATCTTTACCGCTAATCCAATTAAATTTGAAATGCATGCAAGGACAGTTGAATATTTTGCAATGAAAAGTTTGTTACCAGAGCATCTTATCAAGAAAGTGATAGTTGACAAAATTCCAAAACTTTTGGTGATTTAACAAAATAATCATTACTTTAAGTTAAAATTGCTACCTAGCTTTCTCTAGATCAACCTATATAAACATCATCTTAGTCTAACAAGGGCTATCGCATTAAAAAAAAAAAAATAAATAAATAAAAAATAATAATAATAATAATAAACACTTTTGTACAATAGTGGATATATTCTCCCAGCCACTGACATAGTACTATTAGAGTAGATGTCTTGAAGCTAATCAAATTTTGTAATTGACTTTTGTTTTATATCATGTTTATCTATTAATAAAAGATATTTTCTATATCTGTTTTTCATATTTACAAATATGTTATGATATATGTCTTTAGAATGATAAAACTATGGTAAAAGAATCTAGTGTATTTTAAATTTTGATTGTGAGGACCTTATAAGCATATGAGGTGATCATTCTAGAAACGTCTACAGTCTTAGTATTATTCTGACTAATGGCACATATAATACCCTAACCCTAAAAGAAAAACCTAATTTTCATAATTCTCAAATCAATCTAGCAATTAACTTTTCCTCTTAATCTTTTGGTGTCTTCGAGTGGACGAGCTCGTGCAATCCTACGTTTAAATTGATTTATAGAAAAACAAATTANGAATTTAAGAGAAACAACGGGATGGGCAGCAAGAGACCCATCTGGGGTCCTCTCACCTTATACTTATGCTCTTAAGTACTTAAAATCTTTTACATTTCTCTCCTTTGAATATGGAATTGTCTTTCTTAATTAACTATATGCGTTAATGATAGCTTTATATTTTTAATCTCTCTGTCTGAACCAAAAAAAAAATACAGCGAGACGGGGCGAGAAGATGTTTATATCAAGGTTCTATACTGTGGAGTTTGCCACACGGATATCCATCAAACCAGAAATGAACTTGGAATGATACGTTATCCCGTTGTTCCTGGGTATCCTTTATTTTACATAGGATGACATTATCTTAATATCTCTGATGAATACTTTTTGACGTCCATTCTATCTTATTTTTTTCATTATTTCTATATTTTGTTTCTTGTGTTGAATTATATTTAATAGGCATGAAGTGATTGGCGAGGTGGTCGAGGTGGGATCAGAAGTGACTAAATTTAGAGCAGGAGACACTGTTGGAGTTGGATATGTTGTGGGGTGCTGCAGAAGTTGCGAACCGTGCAATTCCAACAATGAACAATACTGCAACAAGAAAGTCTTTTCCTACGGCGATGTTTACCCCAATGGCCAGCCTACCCAGGGCGGCTTTGCTGCTGCCATGGTGGTTGATCAGAAGTAATAAAACCTACTTTGTTTAAATTCCATGCTACATATACATTTCTTTACTAGAGTTACCAAATTTACCATGTATGCATTTGACAAAACTTATACTTTTAACAAAATTAGTGACGTTTGGTTCTTGTTGATTGACTTACAGATTTGTGGTTACAATACCAGATGGTATGGTATTGGAGCAGGCGGCACCGCTTTTATGCGCCGGAATAACGGTGTACAGCCCACTGAGTCACTTCGGATTGAAACAAAGTGGACTAAGAGGAGGAATATTAGGGCTTGGAGGAGTAGGACACATGGGGGTCAAGATAGCAAAAGCAATGGGACACCATGTCACTGTGATTAGCTCTTCTGATAAGAAAAGAACAGAGGTTCTGGATCATCTAGGTGCTGATCGATACCTGGTCAGCTCGGACCCAACTCAAATGCAAGAAGCAGCTGACTCACTTGACTATATAATCGATACTGTGCCTGTGTTTCACCCTCTTGAGCCTTACCTAGAAATGTTGAAACTTGATGGGAAGTTGATAATGATGGGTGCCATTAACACACCCCTGCAGTTTGCTTCTCCTATGGTTTTGCTCGGTGAGTTTTCTTTAAACAGATATTAAACATAAACGTGATTAAAACTAGTTAAGAAATAATTAAATTGTTTTTGTTTAGGGAGGAAAACGATCACAGGGAGCTTCATAGGAAGTGTAAAGGAGACAGAGGAGATGCTTGAGTTCTGTAAAGAGAAGGGACTGTCGTCCATGATTGAAGTGATAAAGATGGATTATATAAACACAGCATTTGAGAGGCTTGAGAAAAATGATGTTAAATATAGGTTTGTTGTGGATGTTGCAGGCAGCAATCTTAGTCCTTAGAAAAGTTCCATTTATAGAACCCTCAAAATTCAACTCAACACCATGAATAATATATGTATGCTTTAGGGTTAAATTTGTGTTTTTCATTTTAAAAATGAATGAGAGCCTTAAAATCTGTAACAAATTATACGTGGTATTCGAAGATGAACAAGATTGTCAATTGTCTAACCATCTGCTTGTGGTTCCAGGAAGAGGCTAAGTTATTATGTATGCTAAGGGTGAAGGGATGTTTTATGTATGAGAAATGTTAAGTGTTTTACATCAATCTTCTTGTTCTTTTCACAAATCAGTGGTGTGGTAGTTGCCACATCAATTTGTACAAAGACTCTTTGTAAGAGTATTTGTACATCTAGAATTTCTCTTTATGTTTTGTTATTAAATAAAGATGATGTACAAGTGATTGTAATTTTCTCATAAATGTCTTTTTTTATATTTTTATGCGCTACAAATAGGGATCAAATAAAGAGATCGATAATCGGTTATATAATCAATGTTTTAAAACTCGAATCGATTCGACTGGTTCAATCGGGACCTGGGGCCTTCACCGGGTTGGGTTAACAATTTTCTTATTCACCAAAAACCTTAAAATTGGGACGGTGATCAACAAACAATTGAAGGTTGGGATGTTAGAACTTTTGAAGAGGAATGATTGATAAGTGCAATGGTGGTGATGGAGGTGATTTCTAGTGAGTGAATCGACCGAAAATCGAAAAAAAAAATCCGCAGCACAACAGTCGACAATTGGCGAGGCAAACGGAGGCGGGGTGAAATGGGTTTTGAGTAAGAGGCTAAAGAGAGTATTTTCGTGGTGATGGGAAGGCATTGTATTTTCATGGTGATGGGGAGGATAGTCAACGCTAACAGTAGTGAGATATGACCAAAATCGATTGAGTAGTTTTTCTAGAGAATGGCTAAGGGGATGATTAGGATTGCATTTAATGTGTCACCACCACAACTAGTCAACCACCAATTTGTATTTGGAGTGTGTTTACTAAATTTCAAACCGATAGGAACTTGAGTAATTTTTAGGGATGTATTTGCTGAATTTTAAACTTTTGACCACTCAGTTTGACCAACCAATCAAACCAGTTAAACTGGTCAACCCGCAAAGTTGCCGGATTTCACCACGGGTTGGTTATTAAACCACTGATATAACTTAAGAATAACACGTATGAAAAACTCACCCATGAATCCATGATAAGAACGAACTTACGTGTCGGTCCAGTTTATAGGAGTTTACTTATTGTAATACCTTCCTTAACTTTCCAATACTTGGAAATTGAAATACAACAATTCTCTTCTACTTAAGGTCCCGCTCCTAATATTTAAACACATTCAAGTACCTTTCTATACAGGCAAATCCTAATTTTCCAGGAATCAACTGTTCATCACACCGAAAAATTGATACATTCCGCACATGCAACCCCACAAATTCCAAGATTTAGCCAATACATGTAACTTCCAGACATGGGAGGGAAATTAATAAAAAATAAATAAAAAATAAAAATCTGTACTGATTTTCCAGGAAGACAACATGATGTATTGATGAAAATGGCATGGGTCAAAATCATTACATTCTACTAATCCATTTGATCAAATTTTATGTTGATCACTGAAAAATCACTTTACCCTGAGCTCAATTGGTTCTGATCTTCCATTCACTGTCAGCGGGACTACAAAAGGCAAGAATAATACCATATTGTGATAGTGCCCTGCCTTCCCTTCTATATGTATATGAACCATCAAGCCATCTAGTGTTGATGCAGTCCTCAAATTTTTCACCACCTCATTATGTGCTATCCGAAGTGTTAATCCTTAGGAATCATAACCTCTGACTAAAGTACATATTCATAAAGTATCTCGAAGGATTGAAGCCACTTAAAATCACTGCAAAGCAAATTCAAGTTCAGATGCAAAGATCCCAAACCTAAGACACAATCAGTAGCAGCTTTGAAACTTACGAATTGGAGAAAGGACGATAAAAACACCGATTGGATATAGGAAAAACGTGGTCCTCTCCAGAAATGGCAATACTGCAGCATAATACTAGTTGTTAGTATATCAATTTATAACTGAAATCCACTAGCTGTCATCTACCATTCAACCCCTATATGAACTTCGGATTTATATCAGAGGCTTTGCAATCACAAATATATTCAGTGATATTTCTCTTATCAAATTTATGATCAAAAAGATGATAATAAAAATTCCATTCAGTGAAGTTTATCACAACTGAAAGAGCAAATAAACCAAAAGGACACATATAAAGCTGACTACAATTGGTTGGAACCACATGCTAAATTAAGTTGCGTTCAATTATGGATTTCACTCAACACGAAAAATTGATTGAAGTAGATAAATAAATCATTGATTTACACTTTGGGACTACAACTCTAATTCCTAAATACAGATTTCACGAATGACTAACCACAAAGGCTAGCACCTCTGCCACATCAACTTCCTCGCATCACTCCCTCAACAAACCAAAATAAATAATTAAATAAATTTTCAAAAAGAAAGTAATGTATGTACTCAATGTTTGGATATTCATTCATCCAAAAACAATTCTTGTCTGAGGATCTCAGCCTAAAAGAGACAAGAATTTCGTGGCCATACCCCACAAAAAGATTTCATGCGGATTAATAATGCAGGAAATCAGATATTTGGACAGCATCAAGAAGATGATTCTCAATATCATACATCCTAATAAGCCAAGCATCTCTCATGCACCGCATGGCCCCAAGCATCACTCCTCACTTATTTGCAAAGAAAAGCAATATAATAAATAATATATAAGCTTACCATCATAACCTAAGAAGTTGAGATAATGATAGTAACAAGCAGCCACCATGAAAAGCAGATTTGACAGTAATACAGGAATGAAACCATGAGCTACCAATAGGGGTGACAGAAAATAATGTATAACTGCCACAAAAAAAGAAATCAATCACATTATTGCATAAAGTAAGGTTGTAAGAAAAGGAACAAATTGAGAACATGGGAATTACCATAAAGCATAACAAACAATGGGAAGAAAGAATTGCAGTGCACATCGAATGCATACAGCCTTCAATCCAAACAAAATCACAGTCAGCACCCAAACAAATGAATCAGATTGTATATACGCAGAATAAGAATAAACCTGATTTCTACACACACGGAAATAAACCATAAACACAAATAACACAGGAATTTCTATTTATAACATTCACAAACAGCCCATATACACATACAAATTTGAAACTGGTAAATTGAAAGTAAAAGTTTCCTGACTTGCCATTCAACTCGTTGCTCAACCACATGACTGTTTGGAGACTCTTCCCGAAGATAAGAATTTGTCAGGAACCTGCATGGAAGCAGAGAATGGATTTCAGTGCTTCACTGATTTACATGTACATACAATGTAGTAACTCTACTCAAACAACTTCTCATCCAGAAAAAAATGAAAAAATCATGAAATAAAAGAAGCATATAAGTATAGAAACTGATGATGAGAAATGTAAATTTTAGAGAAAAAAAAAAAAAAAAAAAAAAAAAACCCATATTAACCAGGATCTTCAAAAAATTCAAGCAGGTTAAACTCAATATTGTGAAATTCACTAAAGTGAAAAAGAATCCTCAGGATGCCCAATAACAAATTTCAGCACAATCAGGATCATAATAAAGAAAATTTCCAGTATCCTACTTAGGTCTCACCCCTTTTAGTATTAGCAATGTACACATAGAATCCTTATTATCAACATTTTAATCAGTGACAGGCATTAACGGGATGCAGTTCAGTGGATTGGGAAGTTTTTTTTTTTTTTTTCAGTTTGGTTTCAGTTAATTAGATTTTGGAAACCATGCAAAACTGCGTTGGGATTTTACCAAGAGCAAAAAAAAATATTCTACTGCTACCACCACTAAGCTGCAGTATTCTACATTTTACTACCACACTAGCCACCAAGCTTCAAGCATCATAAAGCTTAAAATTGAAGGGCAGCCTAAAAGATAATCAAATATCCTATATATACAGTAGTTCTTACCAACAACAAGTGGCTAGAACTGCTCCCATAATCAGAAAATGGAAAAGCAAAACTGAAATTACAACAAAAACAGCATGTGTGGCACTGTGGTCGTACCTGAAAGTAAAAGAAGACAGCCTGGTGAGATTATCTGACTGGAAAACTCAAAAAAAATAGCACATACTCGAATGGCCTCGAACTAAACTAAAAGATATATTGAGCATATTATAGAATGGATCACCACAACACTAAAACTAGGAAATAGTTAGATTGTCCAAGCTGCAGCATTCATCATGCTTATGCATATAAAAATCACAAATTAATCTACAAAAAGCACCCCAGCAACCAAGGAATTCATAGAAGGATCTTCCTTGGAAAGTAGATGACAACTAATAAATTTTGCATTAATTATTCAACCTCAGAATTTGTTTTGCCTTTTCGTAATATTGGTTGGTAAAATAAAATTTAAGCTCTATGCACTCCACCCCACCCCTATACAAACATTAAAACTGCCCATCCAGGATATACATTACAAACTTACGCAGCACAATATGCCATGGTTGCAACTAACAAAAGGAGGCTGCAGATTACAACAAAGGCAGGATCGTCTCGAGCCCATTGATTCTTAGTTTCTGAAATCAAAAACAGAAAAGAATTCTCAGTTACATTGTCGTTAATGGTGTCCTAAGTATACATAAATAACTGACTTTATTCAAGTTTTATTCAATATAAGAACAGTTAAAAATGTTAAAATGTCTCTTATCTACCAATTTTCATAATATCAGTGAAAGTTGTTAGGTGTCAGGTTTGTGCAAATGTAAAATGACATTACTACAAAATGTGACTAAACAGCTAACCGTCCTCTAAAATCTTTTTCATATTTAACTATCTTGGCTTCGGGACCTTCAAAACAGACCACTCTTATTGAATCATAAGCCTGCTATTTGCACAAAGGTGCATATTACAAATTATAGACTCTAGAAAATATATTCTGTAAAACCAGATGCTAAAGGTAAAAGATAAGATTACATGAACACTATGGCAACACTATCACGAATTTTAAGATATAAAGTAAAAAAAAAAAAAAAAAAAAAAAAAAAAAAAAACCCTCCAACCATACCATACAAAACTGAAGAAAAATTCGTTAACACCAAAGGCACTTACGTTTATGATACTTGGTGTGCTGATAGCTGTAGTGATCACACAGTTCCACATGCAAAATGAAGAATTACAACAATTAGAACATTGCTAGCCATCAAAATCAAAACACTCTTTGTGCAAACTTAATCCAGATAAGTCCAACTAAAATAAACCTTCTCTACTATTTCCCCAGGCATTATCCAGCACAACCCTAGTGCAAAAAGTAAATAAAGCCATTCAATATAGTTGCTAATAGTTTCATCTGTTAAACAAGATCAAGTTCATGCCTAACCTCCCATTCCAGTAGTAATCACCATATAAAGAAAAATAATTCAGGTCACAGACGAAAAATTGACAAAATATTGAGCAGAGCATAAGATAATTCAAATTATCTCATTACAAAGATGCCGCAAATTTTGTACATAAAATAACAGTCATGAATGTTAGCCTGCACACCAAGGACAATTCATGGTTACAACTCTTAATTCATTCCTTCAGCAGCAATATTTAGGATTCATACTGAACTAATTTTACATTCACACTTTCACATTCAAGAAAACCATTATGTATTCTAAAATTGTGGACAGACCAATAAATAAGTTGACAACTGCAGGCATAGATCAGGCGATGACAATAAAGAATACATTACAACAATGATGATTCAGGTGGTTTGAAGTCTGATACTCACACAACTTTTGGTGAAGTGCAAAGATGAAGCATTTGCCAGAAAGTATATTCAACATCCATTTGTTGCCACTACAATGAACCAAAAAAAAAAAAAGAAACATAGTTAAATCATAATACTAACATTTCAACATGCAAGAAGCAATCTTTCTTCAGCTTCCATTAAATATACATTATTTGAGATAATTGGTGTCTCTACCAAAATAACAAATCTAATAACCACATCAGGATGATTCACAACAAAAGCGTGTAGACCACGAATCAAAATTGAACTATGGAGCTCCACAACATCTGAAAAAATTTGTTTGAGTCAAACCTCTAACAAAATAACGTCATACAAAATATTCACATCTAATACAATTTTTCATCATATTAACAAATTAACATGTCATAATTAAACAACAACACATTGAACCCTAAACAAAGTAAAATATATATGGATCAAATTAAAGTAGAATGCTCTAACAATCATATAAGTTTAATCGTAAATTGATCGAATCAGAGAGTTTGGTGTGAAATGAAAGAGATCAGATCCACAAATTAAGAAATTTATTGAGAGGACCTTGATGATTCGACGGAGGTACTGAGGGAGCATGGAGTTTGATCGTGACGTGGCGGACGAAGAGCGCCCTTTAGAACCTGAAATTGGCAGCATCTCTTCTCTCTGTAAAGCTCTTTCGCTGTTTGTTAGCTTCTTAGTCGTCAATTTTAAATTTGACTTTGATAGGAGATCTGAGCGAGTTTTTTTTTTTTTTTTTTCTTTCTTTCTTTTTTTTTTTAAATCTTTTTTCTATTTTGTTCAGTCTCCCTGTATCAGTTCAGATGTGAAGAAGCAAACGTAGAAACAATGACGACTCCTCTTTTAGCGATTTGCGTTATTGGACTTGATTGGCTCAGGCTCCCATACAGGGCTCAAATCATAAACGCGGACGCAAAACCCAACTTTTTTTGTATGATTCCATTTGGGTGTTCCTCAATTTAGTATTGCAATGCATCATAAACTGCACTAAGAAGGTTATTATTTCTTTTTTTTTCTTTTACTCTAACATATTTTATGAATTATGATTATGATTATTAATAATAAACTATGTCTGGGTGATTGAGTAGTTTGTTAAAAACTCTGAATAATTACCCAAGAAGTCATGAGTTCGATCTCTTTAGGTGCTAATAGGGGTAGACATTGAAGTTCTTACCCTACTGATAGTTTCAGGGTCTTGGAGATTAGCGAGGTACATGTAAGCTAGTCTAGAGACTTCCAAATACCAAAATATATATATATAATATATATATTATATATATATATATATATAATATAATTATATATAATATATATATATATATATATATTATATATGTGGGTAGGTGAATTCGGGATTGTTATAATTATTTCATAATCCCGTTTCTTAAGTAGAGGTGGAACAAATGGGCCGGGTTAGACGGGTCAACCCTAACCCGGCGTAATGAAGAGGTTGAAACCGGCTCGCCTTAATGGGGGTCGGTTTAGCCAACCCGCCAGCAACCCTGCAACGCACGCAATTGGCTGGTAAGTAGCAAAATGGCAAATCGGCGGCCGCGGGTTGCTATTTGTTCTTTTGCAGGAGGCCCGCCAACCGGCGGGTTGCATGGGTGGCCGCGGGTGACTCGCGGGTTGCCGAAAATAAAAATTAAAAAAAAAGTAAAATTCATTATTTTTTTAAATACCCTTTTACCCTTGAAATATAGCCGTTTTAAGCCGTTGGAGGGGTCTTTTCGTCATTTTCTTTCCCCTTTTTTTTTTTTATAATTAGCCTAAACTCTCATATTTTTCTCACAACTCAAATTCTCTCATTCTTCATTTCTCTAATCTCTATTCTCTCAATTATTCATTATCTCTAATCTTTTTGTATCAATTTGCTCTTATTTAATTTTTATTAGTTTTTGCAATTTTCAATATATTTCAATTTTCAAATTCCAATTTCCATATTCCAATTCTTTACTTTAATTTTTATTTCTTCAACACAATTTTTTTTCAACTACAATGGATAGATATTTCTCTCCCATTAATTTCAATGATGAAGAAAAACTAATCCTAGTCCAGTCCCGTGATTTTACTATGAATGTAGGAGATTCAAATAGTCCCGCTGTCCCAATCCCAGTCTCAGAATCCGATACACCTCAAAATATGCCGTCGATTCCAACAGCTCCCGGTAGTTCTAGAAGTCGTCCTCGTAATGTGTTCCTGCCAACTCCATCTCAAGTTGAGACGGGTTCATCAACTGCCGTCGAAACCGAAGACAGGCATACATCAGATGTTTGGGCGCATTTCGACAAGTTTTACGAGACAGAAAATGAAATCAAGTCAAGAAAGCAAGATGCAAATATTGTGGAAATGTTATAAAGCTGATTCAGGTAATGGTACTGTACTTTAAAAAGGCATGCTAATAAACATATAATAAAATGGAAATAGAGAAAGCAATCAAACTCAAATAACTATGTGGGTACTACTTGGCGTTATAATTCTAATGTATATAGGGAACAGTTAGCTTTATATATTGCTGCAACTGATCAACCTATAATATGGCTGAAGATAAATATTTTGAAAGATTTGTTCAAAATTCATTTTTTCTAGGATTTAAAAGTATTCTAAAACTGCAACAGAAATGATTTAATAAAATTGTTTAAAAAATGAAATTAGAATTAAAAAATAAATTTCATACTTGTCATATTAGTGTGGCTCTAACTGCCGATATTTAGAGTGGTAGAGCTAAACAAGATTAATTTGTGTGACTAGTCATTATTTTGATAATGAATTTAAATTAAATAAATCTTTATTAGGATTTAGATTAATGGATGTGGATCATAGTGGGTTAGAAATCTATAAAAAAATTGTTGAAGTTTTAGAAGATTATGATATTATTGATAAAGTGATAAGTCTAATTTAGATAATGCAAGTTCTAATAGTAAAGCTATAGATTTTTTTCAAACTAATTCCTTTATATAACAATTTGAAGTTTTTTCACCAATGTTGTGCATGTCATTTTATAATTTAATTGTGAAAAGTTGTATGAAAACAATTAAACAAAATATGATAGAATAGGGAATCTTTAGCTTGGATTACAGTGGTAGTGAATAAAAGAAATGGAATTTCAAGAGCTTATAAAATCAAATATGTCTCTAGAACTTTTGCATTAGATAGGCTGTTAGATGGAACAGTACTTATTTAATGCTTGATCATGTTACTTTATGCTAATATAATTAGTTATTGTGAGCAAATAATAGAAGTCCTCATTATTTGATAGAAAATGATTGGAAGATAGTTAAAATTTTTATTATTTTCTCAAATGTTTTTACCAATCCACTTTGCAACTTTCTGGTGTGTATTATCCTACTAGTCTATTGGTAACATACAATTATAAAAATTTCCGAGTTATTTACAAAAACAAAGACAATGAAATTTTAAATGCACCAATAAAGGCAATGCAAATTTTTTTTTGAAATATTGGGAACCATTCCTTTTCTTTATTGTTTAGGTGCTATATTTGATCCTAGAATTTAATTAGCCTCTTAGAAAATGGTTTTGACAATTTAAGTGAAAATTTACAAACCGAATCATATGCAATCAAATAGGAGAGGTAAAAAATAGTTTTTCGAAGTATATTTCCATATTAAAACAGGTATGGGAACCCGTAGTCGCAAAGAGGTGAAATATCCAGAGAGAGCTGTAAAGAGAACAAAAAAAAAATGAAAACTTATACTCTGGAATGCATGAATAGGCTGAAAAGGACCCGAATCCGAAGCACACACCTCCTCTTCAGAAGCACCCCCAACAACAAACAACTATATACTGTCCTCCATGGAGTCGTAGAGTAATGAACTCAACAATATTTGGCAACCCCCGAAATGTTTTCAGCAGGTCACTTTGATATTTAGAGTATTGGGAGCCAGAAAATGTATTTTTCCGGTATTATCAAGACTTGCCTTGGAGTGTTTCGCTGTTCCGTTCTCACGTCTCATCCGAAACAAACATTTAGTGCAAGTGGAAGGATTTTAAATGAAAGAAAGACTAACTTGCTCCAAAAATGATTGAAGTCCTCACATGTCTTCGAGATTGGGAACGATGCGCCATCAAGATCAATACGAGGTTATCGACAATACTTTGTAGAATCATTTCAATTTTGTAATATAGATGTAACAGATGAGGGAGGTCCTAATGAACCACCCCAAATTAGTTGTTTTGTAAAATGTAATTTGTAAATTAATTATCAATTATTGCACTCTTTTTCTTACAAGTTTTCTCCCATTGGGTTTTTCTTGGTGAGGTTTTTAACGAGGCAATAATTGTTGTAATTTCTTATTTTATTTTTTGATAAATGAATAAGTCTAATTTTTCTTATATTACAATTTTATTGTATTAAAATTGAATTAATATTTGAAATGTTAACAAAAAAAAAAATTGAATTGAATTGAATTGAATTATTGATATTTGAAAAGTTAACTAAAAACGGTTATATTTATAATTATTTATTTGAAAAGTTAAACTAAAAAAACAAAAAAAACAAAAAAAATAAGAAAATCGGGCTAACCCGGCGGGTTAGGGTTGGCGGGCCGGGCTGGGCCAGCCATTTTCTCCAAAATGGCGGGCCTAACCCGGCCTGCCTTTGTTGGCGGGCAGGTTAGGCCCGACCCGCCAAACTTCGTAACCCGCCGCAGGCCGGGCCGGGCGGGTTACTTTTCCACCTTTATTCTTAAGCAATCATTCAAAATGTGTTTGGTAAACACATTTCAAAAGTGATTATAGAATAATTAACTTCTTCTATAACTAGGTATTTTATTACAAGATTTCAAAAGTAGGTGTTTTTGGCTTGAAGATTTCAAAATTAGCTTTTAGAATAGTCAATTATCAAAAGACTTTAAGATTATACATAAATTATAACTTTTATAAATAAGTTTTAAGTTTCTGATTAATTAAAAAAAAACGTATATGTATAAGAGTGAACTAATACTATTAGCAGCGTAAGGATCATTGGCTGGAGATTTATACAATAGTGTCAAAGGTTTGCCTCAATGGGCCGGAAACGTTTTGTCAAAACTTTTTATACCTCATTACATCTTGCTTGATTTGGTCAAACCGCCGAAACTATTTGATAAATTGCCAACCGATGATCTTAATTAGGGGTAAATCCAGAAATTTTTATTAGGGCGGGCCAAAATTCCATCAATATTTCTGTTAGGGTGGGCCAAAATCCAGAGATTGAACATATTAATATTTTTTTTTTTAAAATTGTGTAGCATCCGCCCCTGATCTTAATGGTGCCGAGGGTGACATCTTACTTGTGACATTTGACTAAATAATATAGGGTTATAATGGAGTTATAATTGGTAATGTTTCAATAAATTTCTATTTTGTATATAAAACATAATATATTTTTTTTTAAGTCAAATTTTATTCAGATTAGTGACTATTATACATGAATATTTGAAAATTTTAAGAATAAAAACTCTTGTTTTATATGTGATAATTCCAATGTCATGTGTGATTTTTTCATCAAGTTCGGAGAATTGCGAGGTTATAGCTCGATCTAGAATTAGTTCGACTCGATCGATTGTCTGACCCAATATAAGCTCGTCGAGTTGTAGCTGGTCGAGTTGTAGCTCGACCTAGCACAAGCTAGTCACAACTAATCCCAACCATTGTTCAACCAACTCACAAATAACTTCAGATCCCGAATATCTCGCAAGGGATCAGATCGACAACAGTCTTAGCGCAATCTCACAGCTCAATCTTGAGAATATCGAAGTTGCATTTCAATCTTAATTGTAATCTATTTATTTTCGCTATTTC